CCAGCATGCATTCCCTGGTTATTCCGTGTTGCTATAGAAGAGGAAAAGAGCCCTGTTCCTTGATATCTCACAAAATACCACTAGCACAAAGCAGGTGTGTATGTAGTAGAACCTTACTAAAGGATACAAACAATGGCGGGGCATTGTTACCGACTCACAGAGCAAAGAGCCGTAAATCTTTTAGCTGTTAACCCTTTTCTTAAAAGTGCTGGGGTGGCTGGGTGGCTCAGTCAGTTAAGCATCTGACTTCGGCTCAGGTCATGATCTCACCTTCTGTGAGTTTCAGCCCCACGTTAGGCTCTGTGCTGAGAGTTCAGAGCCTGGAGCCTGCTTCTGATTCTGTGTGTATCTCTCTCTACCCCTGTCCTGCTCACGCTCTCTGTCTCAAAAATAAACAAACATTAAAAAAAATTTTTTTAAGTGCTTTGGCAGACTTCATTCATCACTATTTCAGTCAAGGTTCTCTGTTACAAGCAATAGCCACAGAAGTGTTGGCTGATTTAAGCATGAAAGAAATCTCAAAGTGGACTGAAGAACCAGGTTGGGAATTTGTGCCTTAAGAAATGACACACAAGATCATGTTACAAAACTGGTCCAGTAAAGAAGCCTCAGCTGCCACTGCAGGGCAGTGAATTACATTGCAGCTTGCACAACGGACAAGACTAGACAGTGCGGCTCTAACTGATGCCATGGCTACTGTTGTTGCCACCCTTCTCCCAAATGTATTCTCAGTACTCACTGCTTTGTGGCATCATTAGTCCCTTATTCAAAATGTAGGACATGTGCATTTCATTGATGTCACATGCCCAGGTCTAGCTGAAAGAGAGGCTGGGAAAGCAGTCTCCCCCAAAATGTGAAGGATTCTCAAGTCCATGGGTGCAAGTTATTTATTGCAGATGTTCCCTATGTCATTGCTTCCTGAACTTTCCTGTGCTTGTGAGTCATCTGGAGATCTTATTGAAATGCAGGTTCTGATTCAGTAAATCTAATGAGGCCTGAGATTCCATAGCACCCAGGTGATAGATACAAAGCTACTGGTCCACACTCTGAGCAGCAAAGTTCTAGAGCAAAGATTTTCAAATTTAGTTGCATACTGGAGTAACTTAGAAACACTTTTTTAAAAAATATTGATGTCTGGGTCTCACCCTCAGCTGATTTAATTGGTGTAGGGTAAAGCCTGGGAATATGAACTTTTAAAAGCCTTCAGATGATTAAAATATACTCTGATTGCATCTTTCACTTCAGGCTTCAACTTTTTGTCGCTTTTGAAGGTTATCTCTTTTCTCCAAATTCCCAGATTTCCACTTTTAGCCTTACTTGGTTTCCTCTTCAAATTCAATCACATTTGCTTATTGTTCAGAACAATCTGACACTTTACAGCTTAGTTCCTTAGACCAAAGTTTGCATTTCCAAAGATTAAAAGAATTCTCCTAATCCAAAAGTATGCAACCTGTTGCTCTTGGAAAGTATGATTTGAAGTGCTCCATGGACAAACACTGTTTTAAATTTTAATGTGCATTGGTAAAAAAAAAAAAAAAAAAAAAAAGGTAACTAACACAATAAATGTGATTTCATAAATATTACTGCTTAGGACAATGAGTCTTTTTTTTTTAATTACGTAAAGAATAATATAGAGATTCAGAGCAGATACAACAAAAATTGATGAAAATGGTTTATAAATGAATGAAGTTTGAGATTGCTTATACTAATGATAAGCCTTCTATTCAAAATCCCAGGCTTTAGGAACACAAAAGACCTGGCAGAGGAATTTAAAAAAATATCAGATTTTTCTTCTCCCTTCCCTTTGAGTCTTTGGAGGATAAGGAAGCAATATACAGATATTTATTTCTGAATTTATATGAATTGTGCTACCATTCTTAACACATTGAAATGGCTACTGATTTCAATAATGGCTACTGAGGGGCACCTAGGTGGCTCAGTCAGTTAAGCATCCAACTGTTGATGTCTGCTCAGGTCCTGGTCTCACAGTTCCTGAGATGCATAGCCCTGCATAGAGCTCTGGGCTGACTATGTGGAGCCTGCCTAGGATTCTCTCTCGTTCTCTCTCAGCCCCTCCCCCAAGCATTCTCTTTCTTTCTCGTTTTTTAAAAAAATAATGGCTACTGATTTTAAATAACAATTCTTTTTCTATTAAGTGGAGATTTCATTAAGTTGCAAGTAAATACCACCAACATTTGAAAAAATCATAACCTAGACAAAAATAACTATAAGAATTAAAAATAGGTTAAATTCCACGGGTGCCTGGGTGGCTTAGCTGGTTAAGTGTCAGACTTTGGCTCAGGTCACAATCTCACAGTTCATGGGGTCGAGACACTCATCAGGCTTTGTGTTGACAGCTTGGAGCCTGGAGCCTGCTTTGGATTCTGTGTCTCCCTCCCTCTCTGCCCCTCCTCCATACATGGTCTGTCTGTCTGTCTCTCTCAAAAATAAATGAACATTAAAAATTTTAAAAAGAAAATAGGTTAAATTCTAAATTTAATTTTTTTACTTTTTTTTGAGAGAGAGAATGAGAAACACAACAGGCTCTGCACTCAGTGCAGAACCTGACTCGGGGCTCAATCCCATGACCCTGGGATCATTACTTAAGCTGAAATCAAGAGTTGGATGTTCAACTGCCTAAGATACCCAGGCACCCCTAACCAGTTAATTTTTGACAAGAAAATGTGTGAAATTTTTTTAGAACTGTTGAAAGCTAATCCACAAATCCACAGAGCCAAAAAACTCCTAAGCAGAAGTTTTTAAAACTACCCCAGTCCCATCATTGACACCAAAGAAAAGTAGATCTTAACCAGGCTTACATTAACAACAGATTTCTCGGTAGCAACAGAAACAAGAAGATAATAGAATAGCATGTTCAATATTCTAAGGGGAAAAAAGACAACTATAAACCTAGAATTATATACCTAGTAGAATGATCTTTAATGATCAAGAGCAAAATGAAAGTATTTCAGGTGGGGAAAAATCTGAGCACTTATCACATCACATTCTCATTAAAGGAAATTTCATAGAATTTACCTTAAGCACAAGAAAAATTATCCAGAAAGAGCTGAGATATGCAAAGAAATGGTAAGCAAAATGTTTTTTACAAATGTTCTTGGGTCTAAAAAATATGATGTCTGACTTATAGAAGGAAAACAAGAGAGAACTAAAGTAGTGAGTAATAATAGTTCATAAATACAGAGGGGTTGTACAGAGTTAAAATATCCCAAGATATTAGTTTTAGACTTTAGGTTTGCATGTTAAAATAGTATAATCACCTTAAAATATACATAGAGTATATTACTTTGAATAAGGAATGTTTTAAAATTTTTCATTGTGAGTGTTATCTCAAAGGGTCCTTTTTTTTTTTAATGTTTTATTTACTTCTAGGAGAGAGAGAGAGAGAGACAGCGTGAGCAGGGGAGGGTCAGAGAGAGAGGGAGTCACAGACTGAAACAAGCTCCAGGCTCTGAGCTGGCAGTCAGCACATAGCCCGACGCAGGGCCCGAACCCACGAACCGCGAGATCATGACCTGAGCGAAAATCCGACGCTTAACCGACTAAAACACCCAGGTGCCCCTCAAAGGGTCCTTTTCTTAGCAGTATCCTGTTGAGCCTTTTTTGGAAGCATCCCTCTAGGTTGGTTTTATGTTTGTTTCTGCAAAGCATTCTGTTTCCTTTTCTGAGATCATTTTGGGGAAGGCAATGGGGTTGAGGAATCAATTTCTAGGTTTGGAGATTCCAACAACATGCAAGTGCTAAAATCTCTTGTGAAATGCAGGCATAGGGTTTCAAAATTTCATCACAGTCAAGTAAGTTTTTTCTTTTCGTGCAGAAATGGGACAAACTTCTTCATCTGTTTATCTACTGGGTGTTTTATATCTTTCTTAATCTATCAATTTCCTAAGGATGATGTCTTTCAGGAACAATAGCTTGTTGTACTCCGTTCTAGCTCCCACTTTGCACCACTCCAAATCCTTACCTCCTGCCCATATACTTCCAGGCCTCAAGTTACGGACAAACAACACCTTGCCCACCCTTAGGATGACCAGCTATTCTGGTTTGCCTCAGACCTGGTTCCCTGAAAAGGGGGGGGGGGGGTGTGCGGTTCGGTGCTAAAACCAGGAAAGTCTAGGGCAAGCTAGTTGATTGGTCATCTTACACCCTAGCCCTCATATGTCGAGCTAGAGAAGAATCAATTCAAGAAGTCACTGCTTTGGTTTTCAGTTAAATTTTTGGCTTAGGAGTTTAGCTGAATATTAAAAATAAGGTTATTATTTTATCTAGTGATGCTAGGTGTTGGTACTGAATAGATTTTCAGGTTACAGAAGTCCCCCAATATTCTAGCTCACAAAGTAACATTTTATTGCTTTTTCTCAGGACAAGAGTGAAATCTGAGGATAAAAATCATAGCCAGTTATCCCTTATGAGTAAAGAATGCTAGAGTCGTTCCCAAAGTGCTGTGAGTTGCTCCACCAACTGCCCTACGGCTCAACCTTGTGCTAGGCCAGGTTTCTCAGACCTTGAGAATGTTCTAGAATTCTCTAAGCAGGCCTAGTTTCTTCCTGTAAGGCCTACAAAATAAACTCTCCCCCTTACAATTTAAACTCCCTTAAGGAAGAAATGTTTGTCTGTTTCGTTCTATCCTGTGTCTGTGGTACCCAGCTAGCTATTCGTCATTCAATACCATTAACATATGTTTCCTGAAACGAACGCCCTGAACACCAACCAACCTGGCCGGCCCTATCTGTCCAATCCAACCCCATCTACCTCAAACTTGACATAGTAGTGCTCATGTTTCTGGACTTTTGGGGGTCTCCTTCCCTTTTGTCTACAGACTTGGTTTTGTTTATTTCTGCAGGCATTTAATCGATTTTGGGGGCGACGACAGGGATAATCATGAACGGGTTAATCCTGTGCGTTCAGGGCGCCATTTTGAAACTAGAGCATAGACGCATTATATTCATTTTTAATTTTAACACACATTTAAGGATGCATACTTATTTCAAGGGTGCTTCCAAGGCATTTTTGGGGTGACGTGCGGGTCCAGGGGGAAAGGGGGGCGTCTGTCAGTCCGCACGTCTCAGGGCGGCGCCTCCCTAGCTGTGGCATGCCGGCCCACGCGCACCCCCTACATACCCCCGTCAGAGGAGCCGGCGTCCCCCCCAAACCCCCCCCGCAGGGGGCGGGGAGCTATCATCCATTGGCTGAGGCGCCTACCACGAGCCCCAGTACCCGGCGCAGGAGCCAAGTCTGGGAGCCCCAAAGGCCACGCCTCATATCGCCTGCGCCCCTCAGCCTCGACACTCAGCTGTGAGGGTTCCTCCCTCTCGCCGCCCGCCTTTGATTTTCCTCAGTCCTCTGACTTTTATCCCTTTGCCGAGTCGAAGCCGGGCAGCGGCAAGAGCGGAGCCAACAGCAGCCCCAAGAGTGGTGCCAGAAGCGCAGCCTCCGCTCCTCCTCGAGCCCCTTCAGCGGGAACTGCTAGCTGCCGCCATCATGGTGAGTTGGGAAGGAGGCCTGGGGCGCACGCCGGTGGTGGCCTCCCGGGTGGCGGAAACTCGGCTTTTCTGGCACAGCGTAGGAGGGGGCCTGAAATCGGGGTCACCCCTATTCCTTGTTTGGGGTGCCGGCCTGGGTGCACCCTAGACGCGGCCTGAGAGGGGAGGGCAAGACGGCGTAGAGGAATGGAGGAGGGGCGGGAGGCCCGCGGCTGTCGCTAAGGGGAATGGCCCCGGGGCTCCCTGTCCTGCCGGCCGACCACGTGCAGGGCGGCGACCTTCACGCCGCCCTGCCTACCTCGGCGGGCGCGCCCGCTAGACTATGGGGGGCGGCCTGCGGTGTGGACCGCGGGGACTTGAGGGGGTGGGGGTGGGGAGTGATACCGCGCGGCCGCCCCACCCCCACCCCGCCTGGCGGGCCTCCCTTCCCGCGCTTACCCTGAGTAGAGGAGGAGGCTGCGCGTCTTCGGCGAGATGGCGTCGGGCTGGCGCCGGCTCTCTGGAATCTCGGCTGTTGACTTTGAGGGCCCGAGCGTCCTCAGCCAGTGGTTTCTTTCTGGCCCTCGCAGGTGGGGTGGGGGGGGTCGGGGCGGTGCGCTCACGTGGGGAACCGGGAGGCCGGGGCGGACGGGAGAGGAGCGCTTCAGTGGCGGCGGCGGCGGCACCTCGTGGCTGGCCTGGCGCGTGGGTCTCCCTCGTGCGGCGGCCTCCGGCGGAAAACTCGCCCGACGCCATCATTTCCGCACGAGGCCGGGCCTGCGCGTGCGCCCGCGGAGCCGCGGACCTGAGAGGCTGAGTGTTGTGTGGGGGGAGGGGGCGGACGCTTTTCTCTCTCGTTAAAGGAGGAATTTAAACAAACTGTACGTACAGTAACACACGTTCTTCGGGGTGTGCTTTTCGGGGAGTTTTGTTAAATGCTTGGAGTGGATTCACAAGGTGCAACTCTGAAACTTTGGACCCACCCTTAAGGCACAGTTGTGTTCTAGACACTGGATTGACAGTGTAATCTTTCGTAGTCTCCATTTTTAGAGGTGGAGAGGAAATTTATATACAGCTTATATTACTACATATAAATGTTAAATAAAAATATGTAGTTACTCATATTATTCTGTGTAATTATTTGTGTTATGTCCTTATCCGTGGTACTAATCACGGAGTTACTGTAAAATTGTACAGTATATATTTTTTAATTTTTAGAGGAAAGGGGGAAATGCTAACAGCCTCCTTCCCCCGTTATAACAGCAGCATATTAACTCATTTGAAAGTAAACAGTGTAAGAAAGCAGATCTGTCCCAACACCTTTAGCCAGTGTTTGTTAAAGTTTTGCTGTGTTTATGCCCTTCCAGATTGTTTTTATACATGTATTGCATTTTGATAGGTAAGTTTTATTTTATAAAATTTGCACCATGCTACATAATACTTTTTTATATCTTGCATCCCTCACTTAATATAATGGACATTATTTTTCAAAGATAAATTTAAAATGATTTCAAGTATGTAATGTTAAGATACAAGATTGTACCATTACTTATTTTACCAAATTTCCTTGTAATGAATAATTTCTCTGTATTAAAACAATACTATATGGTACATATTTTTGTACAAATGTTTTGGCATGCTTATTTCATTACTTCTTTGAAATTAATTGCCAGGAATGGAAACAACTGGGTGAAGGGTTTATGCCCATTTTAAAACAATTTTAAATTACAGTACACCTTTCTGAGTTATTCTTGATGGACCATGTACATGTTCTGTGTTTAGAATGATCTCCATACTCTTTCCCAATAGAGGTGTTAAACTTTGTAAAATTGCCAATAATAGGTGGAAAATACATTTTGATGTGCTTTTTTTAAACCATTAGTGAAGTGGAAGTTTGTCATTAACTTTCAAATTTTCTTTTTTATAACTTCTTAATCCACTTTTCTATTTGAATGTTTATCTTTTTTAAGGATTTATAAGAATTCCATCAATATTCTTTGTCATTTATAGTGGTAAGGAGTTGCCTTGATTTCCTAATTTCAATGGAAATTGCTGTTTCTCTTTATGGCAGATTTTAGCTTAGAGCTACATCAACAGAGAATAAGATTCTTCTTTTACCTAGGTTTTTAAAAATTCAATGATGAGTGTATTTTATAAAACGCTTTCTCGCTGGTGGATTACAGTAACAGATTTCCTAAGAATAAACCATCCTTGAATTTTCAACATAAACTCTTCTTAATTGTGTGTTTTTTATATACTGCTGGAATTTTGAATCTCTGTGTTGGGGACAGAGGTAGACCATTTTGATTAGGTTTTGTTATTTAGGTGTTAGTTTTGTAAAATGAATTGAGACATACCCTTTTTCTCCTCTTTGGAATTTTTTTCATTTAAAATGGCTGAATCTTCTTTCTCATACACTTAGTCTTTTGTCTAAAATTGTTTTCTCTTGGTGCCCTCTACACACACACAAATTATCTGTATCTTTTCTATTTGAAAAAACTCCCAGTGAAACCAAGCTAGGAATCCAATATTTTTCCTAATATTGTTTAAGATTTACATTTTTCTAGAAAGTTGGCCATTTCTTCAAGATTGTCTGTAGTCCTACCACCTTTTTTCCAACACAAATGTGTATTTTTGCTTTCTTGCCCTTGATTAGTTTTGTCAGGATTGTTCGTAGATTGTTTAGATTTTTCTTAAGAGCCCAGTATTGCATTTACTTACAAGGTTTTATTCTGATTTTCATCTCCTATTTCCTATTAGTCTTTTTTCCTATTTGTGTCTTCCATGAAATAACTCTAGTGACTACAAATTATAGACCATTTTTGTGGTCAATTATAGATAGATTGCATTTGGCTTGCATGTAGATGTAAGAGATGAATGAAAGAAATAATGTTAAAGAGCTGACATCCCAGGAGCTTTAGTAATGGTAAAGTTTTTTTCAGCTCTTAGGTCTTTTTGTCATTTCCCATTATTTAAGTACTCCAGGGAAAGTATTACTGTAAATACCAGCGATGAGAATTGTGTATGCGAAGGCCTCCAAGTTCCCTGCTACTTACTGTCTTACCTTTACTTATCTCAAAACCCACCAACTCACATGAAGATATAATTAAGAAAAATGATTACTCCTTATATTTAATTTACATGAAATTTACTTCCATATGCTATTGATGGTTAATATTAATAGTTCAACACCAAACTTTTTGCTTTAGTCTAAGTATTTTTTGAAGTAATTTGTGAAGTATTTTTAGCCATAGTTTAAAAGTATTAGATATTATTTATTGGTTTTGGATGTTGTATATATAAATTATAATTGTGTACAAGTACACACACAGTAGAAGTTGAAAAAAAATCCCTGCTGATGTCTTGCTACAATGGAGTATTTTGCTTCCTTTGTTAACTTTGAGCACCACCTGCTGGCTAAAGATTAAGACATGGTAGTGCCTTAATTTAAGATGTAAATAAGATGACTTGCTGAATGTTATGTTTAATATCTCAGTTAACCAGACAGTGAATTTGAGTAACTCAATCCCAAACCAAATTTCCTATAATATATAATTGCCTTTTCTTCTTTATCCCAAACTATTACTCAGTGTCTCAAGTATCCATTTTACTTTTGTTAATAGAATATAAGAATTAGAACTTTTCATCTTTAATTCTGGAGATGCTATTACAGGTTTCTCAACTGTGAGTGAGCCTATTCAAATTTTGGGACAGATAGGTTTTTTTTGTGGGAAGCTGTTTTTGCATTATAGGATGTTTACTGTACCCTTGGCCTCTGCCACCAGATAAAAGAAGCACCTCGATTGTGACAACCAAAAATGCCCTGCATCACAAAATCTCCCCTGGTTGAGAATCAACACATTTTCATAACCCCTTATAATCTGGTACAGTTTTCTGGCCTGACATTACACCTCCAAATTAAAACATTGGTCCATTGTCATTTACAACAGATAATACTAGTTTGTCAAATAGTTATTCAAAGTTTATCCACAAATGAAGGGGAAATTGAGAAGGAGAAAAGTCTATTAGAATTTCAGAGCCGCTTTTTTGTTTTGAACTTTTGAAAGAGCTAACCGAAAAGGATTGGTGAGTTGTTTCTAGTGAAGAGAAATGTAATCAAGTTTCAGTAGTTCCATATATGTGGATTATGTGATACAGTCCTATGTAGAAAAAGCCTAAAATTAGAAAACATTAAAAAATGGAAAAACCTCAGAAGACTATTTTTACTCTATTGTGTTATTATGAAATATTACTATACTATCGTTAGAGGAAAGAATTAAGAAGCACCCAAACAGAAACACGAAATAGCAAGTACAGTTGACTCTTGAACAATGCAGGGGTTAGAGACATCAACCGCCTTCCTTCCATGTATTTACAGTACTGTACAGTATTTCTTTGAAAAATACCTGTGAATAAGTGGACTTGGACAGTTCAAATCCGTGTTCAAGAATCAGTTGTATGTGTACAAATTAATAGAAACCAAAACACATTTGATTTGACAGTTTTGATTTTGTCTCTAAATTAGTTTAGCAGTTTGTAGAAGCTTAAATTTATTAGTAACTTCTAGCATTGAACAAAATATTAATTATACCTACTTTATTATTGTGACTAATTTCTATAGAAATTACCGTGCTTGCTTTTTAGAAATATATGTGTCAGTTGGTTTATTTTGCCCTTGTTTTCTCCATAAACAGAGGTGTAATAGCTTTATGTCTCTTGCAGCCTTTTTTACTTCCCTCTTAATCAATAGGTACTTCTTTTTGTTTTAATTTTTTAATGTTTATCCATTTTTGAGAGGTGAGGAGGGGCAGAGAGAGACGGAGACACAGAACTCAAAGCAGGCCCGATGCTCTGTGTTGTCAGCACAGCCTTACATGAGCCTCAGGCTCACAAACTAGGAGATCATGATCTGAGCCAGAGTCAGACACTTAAACCAGTTACTAAGCCACCCAGGTTCCCCTCAATAGGCAGTTCATAAATGAATTTCAAATGTGGATATGCCATTAACTAATTCTTCAAAGTTCCAGTTGAAATTAGTTATTAATAAAGTATGTACAAAATCAATAAGTGGTAAAACCAAGAAAGAAGCTTTTTAACCTATTGAAAATAAATTCAGATAACAGGATAAGCTTATATTGGTGTGCCTCATTATACTTTACAAAATGAATCTGCAGATGTTACCACATTTTATTCTCAAAGAAATTTTCCCAAATATAAATAGCTGCCAAGTAAGGGGCTTATAAGCTAATAAAGGACATGAACCCAGATCTCCTAATTAAGTCAGTTTTTGTTTCACTATGTTAGACTGCTTTTGCAACATACTATTACCAGTAAATTTTGCTTCAGAAAAATTTACATTAATCTTATGTAGAAAATCTAAAGTTCTGACCAGAATCCAGAAAAATAATGAGTTTCGTGTGTAGATCTCTTTATTCTGAAAATAAAGAGCGTATTATTTATATCTATTAGCCCGCTGTGAAAATTAGAATTATCAGTGTTAGTGAGGAAGAAAAATGTTATTTCAAAAGATGCTTTGAACACCCTAAGCACTAAGGGAAAGGATTGTAAGCCACTTTTTTTTAGCAGGAGCTATTATGATGTGTGAGCAAGTAATGTTTTCATGATCCATTTCCAAAGTAAATGCATACTAACACACAGAGTTATTTAATTATAAAATCCATGTTAATTTTGGTGACTAGAATGAAGATGTAAAAGGATATTTGTTTACAGCTTTGTTGTAGGGGTGTCTGAGTGGCTCAGTGGGTTGAGCATCTGACTCTTGATTTTGGCTCTGATCATGGGATTGAGCCCCATGTAGGACTTTGTGCTGAGCATGGAGCCTACTTAAGATTCTCTCTCCCTCCCTCTGCCCCTCTCCTCTGTGTCGCAGGTATGTTCTCACTCTCTCTTGTGCTCTCTAAAATAAAAAAATAAAAATAAAGCCTCGATGCATGTTTTTGATGCAGTTTTTTTTTAATTTCATCTTTTTTAAAAGACCTACCATGCTTTTTAATAAAGTACTCAGTAAAATGAAAATTCACTTACTGGAATATAATGGAATGAGTTTAATAACTATTTTTACAAATATGAACTTTCCAGTTCACGAACTCAGTATAAGGTCAGTATTCTACTTTAGTATAAGAGATGATGGATGATGAGAAACACAGGGTTCATACTGATGTACTCTGTTTTAAATCCTAAGCCTGAACTAAGCTGTATTGCTGGCCAATTTACTATGAAAGTAATTTATATGAAAATATTTTGTAGTTTAAATACAAAGATTATATTTCACCTCATGCATGGTTTTTGCCTAAATATCCAGTGATGATACCTGCTTTCTAAATTACAGTCTGCTGCAAATCCTGAGACTCCAAACTCAACCATCTCCAGAGAGGCCAGCACTCAGTCCTCATCAGCTACAACCAGCCAAGGCTATGTCTTACCAGAAGGCAAAATCATGCCAAACACCATTTTTGTTGGTGGAATTGATGTTAGGGTATTGTATTTCTATTTTATTTATTTAAGATAATATTTAGTGAGTAATGGGGTTTGGGCCCTTTTGCAAACATAAGGTTTTTTTGTACTTCATGCACGTTTCGAATTGGGTTCATATTTAACGTATGAAGACTAAAAATATCTTTGACAAGAGCTACAGGTGGTTTGGGGATTCTTAGGGGAGATACTTCCACATTTTCTAATCTTTTTTATAGTGTAATTGAAAATTTTGAATGCTAAATTTTTACTCTTGAAGTCAAATTCTTCTCCATAGATGGATGAAACCGAAATTAGAAGTTTCTTTGCTAGATATGGTTCAGTAAAAGAAGTGAAGATAATCACGGATCGAACTGGTGTGTCCAAAGGGTGAGTAAACCATACATGTTCAGTATAAAGTACAAAAAATATGTGAGTTATCATATCTATATAGAGTAGCATAGAAGAATTTAAAACTTTTGTTTTTACATTTGTATAAATTTGTTGCTTTGTTTCTTTCATATAAAGGATAAATTTGCTTCCAGCTCTTCAGTGTAGTCATTTTCATAGTGTTTGTATGTAAATCTTTCACACCCTAATTTATTTTACCTAAATGGATTAATCACTTCGATCAAAGAGCTGTTTTCTTCACGTATTTTACCCATCTCACAATAGATAGTAAGTTAAATTCACGTTCATAGATAGGAATTTTCAGTTAATGAATGATGTCCCACACTATGTTAACCTTCACGCATTCTGACATAGATTGGGGAAGAAAACAAAAAGTATTTATAGAGAACCTCTCTAAAAATGTTTATCTCCGTATATTCTTTATCCTTCATCATAATTTGTCACTTAACTTCATGGAATACTAGAAGTTTTAGACCATGTACTGTTATGGTGGTGATTTTTATATTTTATTTATCTGTCTTTATAGCTATGGATTTGTTTCATTTTATAATGATGTGGATGTGCAGAAGATAGTAGAAGTAAGTAATCTTATGGCAAAATTTCTTAGTTTACGGATATAATGTTTAGTGTTGAGTCCTGAATATATATAGCCTTGTATAAAATATGGAAATAAAATTCCTGTTTGAGATCCAAACCTAGAGTAATCATACATAACTTGCCAGAACCTGTTTATTTGTAACTGGACATCTAGCTTCATGAGCTAGACAAAGGAAAGGTTAGAGACAGAATGTAAAGATTTTTTATCAAATTCCAATACTCCTCTCAGCACTTAAGTAGTACGGGTAAGGTTGCTTCATGTTGATAAATTTTGATTTGGTATGTCCTTACTGGTGATTTTCTCTGATGGCAGAAATTTGAGAAGACTTGAGGTGTTTACCAAAGTCTTGGAAGTAAAAACTTCAAAATTTATTTTAGCTTTGTTACTGTTTTATTTTCAGTCACAGATAAATTTCCATGGTAAAAAGCTGAAACTGGGACCTGCAATCAGGAAACAAAATTTATGTGAGTAAGGAGAAGAATTGTTCTTAGTGACGTGTAGCTTTTCAGGAAACTAAAAGTAGGCCTTGTTTTCATTTTATTCTTGAAAAAGGTGCATATCATGTGCAGCCGCGTCCTTTGGTTTTTAATCCTCCTCCTCCACCACCGTTTCAGAGTGTCTGGAGCAATCCAAACACTGAAACTTACATGCAGCCTCCAACCATGATGAATCCTATAACCCAGTATGTTCAGGTAAGAATTACTTAACATTCCTTTTTCTTTTTAATAGTATTGGAGATCTTATAGATGGGGGCACCTTAAAAGTAAGCCAGTCTCACTTTTTACCCTCAAATCAGGTGCACATTTTCCATAATAAGTGATAATACTATCTCTGAATATGGGATGAGTGATGGGAAGGAAATCTATTACTTTTGTTAGAACCTGTTGTTCTTAGTATTGTTTCTTACACCAAGCTAATATCTGCTTGTCTTTATCTAAGAACTGATCTCTATAGCTACAAAGAGCATATCTCATTCATTACCCCCCCCACCATAGGATAACTCCTTAAATATTTGAAGGGACCTTTCCTCATGTGTTTGCCTGGTTTATTCTTTAAGTTTGGAAATCTTAGTTATTCATTATTTGCAATGGTTTTCGATGCCTTCTCATAGATTCCTAACTTCTGGATGTATTCTGGTTCTAGAATGGATAGATTTCTGATGACTTAACTATATTTGTAAATTCTCTGAGTTTCTGGCATATAATGTGTTTGGATACTTGAATATTTGAAATGGAATTGAAAATATTTACTGTCTCCTATTGATGATGAATAACACTGATTTTCTTCATTCTACTTTCTTCAGTTTAAAATAAAAAGAAAAATAGTAGCGAAGTGGTTCAGTAATGTCTGGTTTGTTTGCATTTTCCATCCATCTGAAATGTAGGGTATTACACCTTTTGTTATTTTTCTTGCTCTAAACATGGTTAGAATAAAAGCCTTTTACTTGTTCCTAATGTGCTGTGAGCTATTACTTAACTTGGGTTTATTCGTGTATGATATTATATAGATGTTTTTAATCAATATTTATTGAAAGATGAAAAGCATTCTACTGTTTTTTATTTTCAGTTTTGGGGTTATATACTGCCCTTAACTAGTAGAAATGAAATACAGAAAGAGCCATGAAGTGTGTAGGAGGACTACACATTACTCCATGATATTGTCAAGGAATATAAAACTGCTTAAAAATATTTCTACAAAGAAACAACAGATGTCTTAACATAACTTTAACATGGAAATCTATCTTAATTAGAGCCCTATCACCAGTGTAAGGAAGAACTGGGTGGGGATAAATATACAAATAAGATAAACGTAGATGGGAAAATCAGTCTCTTCCCTCATTCGTCCCTTTTCCCCTTCGAAAAGAATAACAGTTGACAGAATTTTTCTTTTTTTTTTTTAATTTTTTTTATAGTTTATTTTTGAAACCGAAAGAGACAGAGCATGAACGGGGGAGGGGCAGAGAGAGAGGGAGACACAGAATCAGAAACAGGCTCCAGGCTCTGAGCTGCCTGCACAGAACCTGATATGGGACTCGAACACCCGAATCGCGAGATCATGACCTGAGCCGAAGTTGGACGCTTAATCGACTGAGCCACCCAGGCGCCTCAACAGAATTTTTCTTCATGAAGCCAATCATTCCAGTAGAATTCTGTATTCATACATAGAAAAATATAATTTATTTTCTTTTTTTTTTTTTTTTTTTTTGCTGTAATAGGAGTATTTATTATTTTCAAGAATTTTCCATGTTAACCCATACTTTCTATAAATTTAATTTTCAGGCATATCCTCCTTATCCTAGTTCACCAGTTCAGGTTATCACTGGATATCAGCTGCCTGTATATAATTATCAGGTAATTTAAAAGAGAACAAAATAATTTACTTTGGGGTATTATTGAGGCATTTATATCAATTTCCCTAATAGTTTGTCATTTAAACTAGTTGAATATGCTTAAAATAAGAAAGAAAGTTAGAATTAGTCTAGAATTAGGACCTTTAATTATTTAGACATAAGAGAAAGATACTTTGATAGGAATATACTTAGCAAAAAGGTTTCTCTTACACTGTTTTATAAGATTCAGTGTCCTCTATTTCAACATGTATTCTTCCATCTTTGCTGTCAAATAGCTGAAATATCCAAACGGACTTCTATAAGCTTTTTTAGGAGGATAGATCGAAATAAAATAACTCCATTCTTCCAACATTGAATTCCAATCGTATTTGGTAGTGTTTATTTTAGCTGACTACTACAAAGTAGTAGTTCTCTGAATTTCTGACCATAGATATGATCATTTCTATGGGGCCCATGATCGTTAAATTCTCAAATTCTTTGAGGTTTTTTTGAAAGCTAACACCAAAAAATTGAGAGAAAGGTAGGGTTTATATATAAAATAACAGTAAACTCTTTAGGTATTAGAAACATTAAGTATTTTTTTCTTCCATTCTGTTTCTTTTACTGCAAGTTCAAGGAACCAGCAGGACAAATACCTCAACATTATCTATCTTTCATGTTTGTGAAAATGTGTAAGAATGGTTAACTAATTGTTATTTCCTTTTTTTTTTTTTTTTTTTAAGATGCCACCACAGTGGCCTGCTGGGGAGCAAAGGAGTTATGTTATACCTCCGGTAAGGGGAATTAACCAAACATATGCTTCCTTTTCTTTATTTAAAATATTTTCTCATTTTACCCATCATATGTTTCTTGTCCTTCTGCCATTTCACATGTGCCTTGGAATATTTTTAAATTCTCTTTCACATTCTGTGTTATATTTTATTAATCTCACCCAAATATATTCTTCCATGGGTGAAACTGCTTTTCATTTCTCACTTGGTTTTTGAGTGGTTTAAGACAATGGCTGCTCTGCATAGAACAGGTGCTAAATTATGTGTAATCCAAGAAAGATAGTATTAATATTTGTGCTAATTCTAATTTAATGAATTTAGAATTCGTATTAAATCTGTCTCTAGTTCTCTATTCATAAAAAAAAATCTGCTGAAGAGAAGCAAATGTTTTGCTCTGCTACTGTTAGATGGTATATATAAGAACACAAAAGAGGGCGTTAGCTCTAAAACACTTGATCGTTTACCTTCTGCCTTTCATCAAGATTGGACCTTTGAATGATGTAACATTAGTTCAAATTCTCAGGCACTGAGAAATTCTCATTCTATTACTAGATGTTGGAGTTCCTTTTTTAATGTTTTTTTTTTTTTTAATGTTTGTTTCTTTTTGAGAGAGAGCACCAGCAGGGATGGACAGAGAGAGAGAGGGAGACACAGAATCCAAAGCAGGCTCGAGGCTCTGAGCTGTCAGCACAGAGCCTGACACAGGTCTCAAACCCACAGATCATGCGATCATAGCCTGAGCTGAAGTTGGACGCTCAACTGACTGAGCCACTTAGGCACCCCTGGAGTTATTTTTTCTTAGAGCGCTTTGATTCTGATTATGTTGAAGTTTAGAAGACATTTCAAAATAAAAGATTCCCTTACTACAATTCTGCTGTTCAGTTCAGTATAATATGAAATAACATAATTCAGCTTCAGTACAAGCCACATTTAAATGCTCAACACCAGCTTACCTATTTTGAAGAATAGATTGTTTAGAAATGTATCTAGTGTACATCTCCTTAATCATACTTTCATAATATAGGCTTATACCACTGTTAACTACCACTGTAATGAAGTTGATCCAGGAGCTGAAGTTTTGCAAAGTGAATGTTCAGTTCATGAAGCTACTCCATCCTCTGGAAATGGCCCACAAAAGGCAAACATCTTATTTTATATTCTGTTTATATTTTCATAATTATTTTTTAAAGTTTTTATTATAATGGCCCTTTGAGATGCAAGTATCTTTTTCAAATTTAAACATGGAAGCCAAAAATAACAAAGCTTAAGTAATTGACTAATAACTTGGCATTTTATGTAAAAGTTGATGAAACTTCAGGCACTCCAAACTTTCACAGTGTTTACATATAGTTTCTGATTCAGTAGTCCTTTCCTCTATTGTATTTTCATTGTGTTTTATAACATACTTTAATGCGTATGAACATAATTTGGTGGGATGCAGTAGACCGCTTCCTCAAGAATCCTCTCTTCAAAAGAGAGATTAGTATGAATTATACCTACTCTTTTTTTTTAACCAGTTTAAACATTTACTGAGTTGAATATAATACACAACTATCTGTGGTACTTTTTTCATAACATGATATATGGAAGCAGCTCTCAAGAGTGGTAGAGTCACTAGTAATAACTGAAAAACTGAAATAGTTGGAGTTTCTTCCTTTTTTATCATTAGAACAAATTCATATAATAACAGTGTTCTCATCCTTGAATTCTCCTATGTTTTTGTTGAATAGGTGGGAATGTGCATAATAACATTGAAGGATTCCCATTGGAGTGTGTGTGCACATTCCCATCACATCAACTACTTTGTCCATGTGTTTCTCAGTGGAAAAAAATAATTTTGAGAACTGCTGAACTATACAGTTAAAAAATTCCTTGATTTGATTCATGATTAGAATTTGAAAAATTATTAAAATAATTATATCAGGTTCTATCCTAGGTATATTTTCTTCAAATGCTGAAGTTCACTGTTTTTTATCTTAGGAAAAATGAAAGAAACTTAACATATTTGAGGGTTTTACTAAATTGAACTTTATAACCAGTACTCTATCACTAAGATTTTAAAATATTTTTAAAATTTCGTAGAAAAGTTACATACTGACATGTAATGAATTACACGAAAATGTAACCTGTCAAATGTTACCTTTCTTTGAAAAGCCTGTTAGAGTAAAAGGAATAGTCCTTAAATTGTTGGAAAAACATCTTTTTTTTCCAGAAATCTGTGGACAGAAGCATACAGACTGTGGTATCTTGTCTATTTAATCCAGAGAACAGACTGAGAAACTCTGTTGTTACTCAAGATGACTACTTCAAGGTATAAAAGGAATAGTATATTTGTCAGATGTGAGGTATCTTTGTTTCTGTATAATAAGTATTTTGAGATTGCATAGCGCATTTGGTTAATTGAACTCTTGGCATTTGACGTTGGTAACTCAGAAAACCTCTGTGATTTTTACCTGGCCATTATGCTGCTCAAACATTGATCTAGTCTAGTTTGTCCTTAGGGAATAAATCTTTAGCAGAAGCTTGTAGTTGAAAAGGTTTGTGAAAGAAGAGAGTTGAAAGAGAATATTGGCTTGACCAAATGAAAAAAGAGGGAATGTTAGGTACTCAAAGCAGAACATAACTCAGAGATCTCAATTGGGTTCACTTTCCTACCACTGCAACAGGGCGAATATACAATAAAGTGAGTCAAATTAATTTGTTTTTTGTTTTCCACTACATATAGAAGTTTTCTTTACACTATACTGTAGTCTAGTAAGTGTTCAATAGTATTATATTTTTAAAAATGGTATACATATCTTAAATAAAATATGCTTTATTCCTGGGGCACCTGGGGCTCAGTCAGTTAAGTGTCCAACTCCTGATTTCAGCTCAGGTCATGATCTCAAAATTCATGACATCAAGCCCCATATCGCATTCTGGGTTCAGTGGACCCTGCTTGAGATGCTCTCCTTCCTTCCCCCTCCAGCTCTCCCTCTCCCCCCCGCTCATATGCACACAGCTGCATCCTTTCTTTCTCTAAATATTTAAAAAATGTATATATTTTTTTATTTTTAAAAAATGCTAACCATTATCTAAGCTTTCAGCAACTCAGAATCACTGATCACAGATCACCTTAACAAATACAGTAACAAAAGTGTGGAATATGACAGTTACCAAAATGTAACACAGTGACACAAAGGTAGCAGTTGCTGTGGGAAAAATGCTGCCAATAGACTTTTTCAGTGCAGGGTTGCCACAAACCTTTAATTTGCAAAAAATGACACATATATGAGATTGGAGTAAAATGAAGTATGGCTGTGTATGGATATTTATTGAATTTGAATGCATTGAGGCAGGGTATATACTGTTTCTGTCTTGTCTTTATAATCTTTCATGTCCTATCTGATCTCTGAAGATACTTGAATTTGTGACCACCTTTCTGGTCTTAAACCTAAATAGGATATTAGCCTGTTATATAAAAGATTACATAAAAGGTTACACAATTTCCAAAAATCAGTCTTTTTTATATGACAGCTGAATTTAATCTCTAGGAAAAGGACACAGTTAAGCTCTTATAGAAAAGATAGTGTCAACTCCATTCCTTTTTGTAAGGCCTCACTTCTTTCCTGCCTCCCTAGAGGGCACAAGTGAATGAGAGGCCGAGAGAGAGAAGCAGGGCTCACCTGAAGTGGGACTTGAACTCCCAAACTGTGAGATCATGACCTGAATTTATGTCCAGTGCTTATTAACCAGCTGAGCTAACCAGGCACCCCAGCCTTACTTCCTTCTATCTTCACGTCTGCAGGCAACATAAAGTGAAAGGAAAATTTTGCATATATTTTTGTCTCTTCATTTCCTAAAGAATGAGACATTTTCATCACGGGTTAAGTATATACCTTTAAATATGCCAAACCTTTAGTCTTTTAACCTAAAAGTATAAAATTTTAGTTTAAAGTGTAGTACTTTCTCAAGCTGTGATTTCAGTCAGATGCACTTCTTTTAGTAAAAACTATACTTTTAAAAATTATATAGTTTTCCACCAGCTGTCTTTCGGGGCATCACTGCCAAATAATTAATTAATAATCTTCATAAAATGGTATTGACTCCAAGTCTTCTGTTTCTGAGTTTACTGAGATTTCTTTTTTAAATTAAATTAGTGAATAAAACTAGTCACTGGTATAATTGTTACTCTAAAGTTCAAGAATGCTTCCCCAAAAGGACTACTTTTCTCTCAGCATTTATAGCTTTTTAAACCCAAAATGAATGCTTTAACTATTTTGCAATGATCTTAGGTCATAGCAGCAGCACGAAAGTTTTCAGTGAAGTAATAAAAAGGACTTATTTCTGTCTTTTCTAGGATAAAAGAGTGCATCACTTTAGAAGAAGTCGGGCGGTGCTTAAATCTGTTTGATCCCTTCTGCTAACTTTCTAGTCTCATGAGAAGTTGCTGGTTTTGAATATTAAGAGGAGACTGAAAGTTTTTCACTATTGAAGTTTAATTCTGAATTTTTAAAAATCACACTCAGACTTTCTTAGACAAGTTAAGATTGCCTAGCTTTATTTTACATTGAAACTGTTCTTCATTAGATGTTTGTTTAGAAACTAATTCTGTGTTAAATATATAGTTGAAAGTAAAAAATAATTGAGACTGAAAGAAATAACTTTAAGATTTATCTGTTAGGATATTTTTTATTGAAATTGACATTTTAAGAGTTAAAAAGCAATTGCTGATTGTCAGGAAATTGTTTTAGAAAACCTGTTCTGAAAGGTCAGAATTTTGATAGTTTGAATACAAACATTCACTTCTCCAACAACTACCTGTGAACAGTACAATATTTACAATATTGTTCTTTACATTTATGATTTGTCTCGAAATATACCACAAAAACGGAGTGTTGAAAACCGCATTTTTAATCAGTGGAACTCAATATATAGTTAGCTTTATTGAAGTCTTTGTCTAACCCAGTAAAACAGATTGTAAACAGAGTCCAATCAGTGGGTCTTGTGTTTATTAGTTCAAAATACTTACCTGTAACTAGAATCCACACATAGATATCCTATTTGATTGGGATAGTAATTAGGAGAACTAAAATTCTGGCCCTAATTTTTGTAAAGAATCCAAGACAAGCTAAACTTTACTTGGCATATAAACTTCTCAGTGGGTTACCATTCTCCTTTTTTCTTATATTTTTTTCCCTTGAAATGCTAAACTTAATGGCTATATTTTAAATTGTGCAAAGTACTGATATTAAAGAATTCTGAAACTTTTTTATGTCACTTAAAGGCTAATCAGAGTATCTGAAAGGAATTGTTTTTATAAAAACATTAAAATATTAGTTACTTGTTGAACCAATACATTTTTATTTTTGCTTGTTAGCCTAGTATATTTCCTTTTTCAAAAGTAAAATATGCTTAGAAGAGCCAAAGTAATTTTGATGTTTAAGTACTTAAACTTAGGTTGTAAGCATAGCTCAAGAATATACTAGAGTCAGAGTGAACAGTCCATTTCTAGATTAGCTGGTCTCCTTGTTAGATGTGTATTTTGACCAATAGAGCCCCTTTCTTATCCCCACAGTCTTGATTTTCCAGTCTGTAGCAACATTCTTCCAGGAGTTTTGCTCCTAGAACAGGTGATGTAAAGGAGAGAAGTGGCAACAAGAGCAGTTTGAGGGCTAAGCCTTAGAAAGGTGGCAATGGGATAAAGTCTTTCTAAGGGAAATCTGTATCTGCATCATTTGACCTGCCATGGAAATGAGTTGAAGGTGGCTTCCTGCCCTTTCTTTTGTTGGTCCCTTCACTAAAACATGGAGACTCCATTTATCTATAACTTAAGGCAGCTATCATGGGCCATATTATCAGTCCCCATAGTTGCTTTATAATTCCTAATAATTTTTACTCTGTATCAAAGGGAAGAGTCTTTTAAGGATTCCCAGAGGGCTTTCTTATGCCTCAGAATTTGAAAGTGCCCTGAAGTTTGTCCTTTAAAAAATTTCTCTGTATTGGGGGGGGGGGGGTGTCTGCTTTAACATTCTTAACATGTATCATTCTGTGAATAAATTTTCAGGTTACTCTAAATGATAGCTAAATTCGAAAGAGACAATTCTAATTATCCCAATCTGACCATAATAAAAGTTAAGGGAATAAACTTTTTATTTTTCTGCTTTTTTTGTTGGACTGAAGTATTTAAGAGTAAGGTAGAAAAACAGAGACAAAGTCCTGAACCTTTCAAAATGGAGAATTAATTTTTTTTTAAAAAGTGTGTTCCTATTACATATTGTTGAAACTGTCTTTGTATAAATGAATAAGTAGAAATAAAGAAACTTTTTTTCCAAGTGCATTTTTGACCTACTTATTCGTGTCATATCATCTAAAGAAATGGTGGAGAGTTGGGTGGGTAGTATGTGACAAGGTATAGATCCTTGAAATTCAGAAGTATAAGTACTATTTACTTTATTAATCTGGTAGAGTTAGCTTATACAAGCAAATTTTGGTATATTATATTTTACTGCATTTTTTCATGAAATTAAGAGGTAGGTTTTCATGAGAAAATAATCCCTCTTAGATTGAATTGGAAATAGTTAACTGTGTTCTAATGCCATGCATCAATAAAGCAGTGCCTAGTGCAAATGCTTGATAAGTCCTATGTGACTAGTTTCATAGCCAAGGTCCCTCTCTTTTGGACTCTATAAATATTTTGTCTACTACATACTTTGCACTTTAACCTCAGTGACCCTTTTATTTGGGGATATTGCAGTTGTCCATCATAGAACTTAAGTTTTTCGTGTTGCGTTTATTTCATGAGGATGTATCCAAAAGATCATTACTTACCACCTGTTATAACCCACGCTCCAGTACTCCCAGTTCTACAAGCTGAGGCGCCAGAGGAGAGAAAATTCTCCCTTTGGAGGTTCCTATGCTGTATTTAATGGACTCATTACCAGAAAAATGTTTATTAAGGTTTTATAAGATAAACAGTGCCTTCTGAATCACTAAAGGTTGACTTTTGATGTTAAGTAATCATTTGCTAAAGATTAGTAATCCTTAAATGTCCATATGTATGTATACACACATACATACATGTTGGCCATTTTCCAGAATATTTGATTAGCCCTGACCAAGCTAAATAACAGTTTCTAACATTTTTAAGACCCTAAAACTAGATTACATATATCTTAAACAGTTACTTTAAACCTGCTTGATATGTTAAGCATATTTGAAAATTGAGGGTTACTACAAAATTCTCAACACAAAACCAAGTCATTGAGTTTGAAAAAGAAATTTCACACAGCACTTGGTAACTTGCTGCAAGTTATGACATCAATCAGATGATGCCAAAAGCGTTAGTCACCCCTGTAAGAAGTGTAATCTGTGTGCTTTTCCCCCACTGAGAACACGTAACCTTTGTATTCAAAATAATTACTTAATATTGATTAGCACTCTTAAACTCAGGGGAGTTGTTGACTTTCAAAAATACATACTCCACAGCAGTTCCCTACAGTTGTAAAGCCCTCTATCCACTTCTCTAAAATTCTCTTGGTTGTCTTTAAAGGTAAACTCATAAAAATGAGCTGCCACATTGCTTAATCGTCTTGCCTGCTTTCATTGCTGTGTTTTGAGGGTAATAAGGAGCAGCAGCAATAAGGCAGTGTGCCACTCTGCTTTCACAGAGTCGGCAGTAGAGAGTGGGGGACCGTGAGGGGGAGAAAAGCGGCAGTGTTGTCCATTGACCAAGTCTTGCAAATAGGCCCAGCTGTTGAGTATGATCATTCAGAATCCCTGAAACACTTCTTCTAGATGAGGATTGCTCTTGCACATATCTTGATAACTGTATAATCTAGCTCTTCCCAACATTACGTGTAATATGTCTCTCTGTGTGTAACTGAATCTTTTTGAGCAATTCCTCACCACCCATCATCAAAGACTGAGTTTTCCATCTGTAGACAGTACATTTGGTAGTAGAAAACAATAAACATAAGAAGTTCAAACTATAAACATGCGTTTTTGAATGCTCATGCAAAATATTCAATCTGTAGCAAAGAAATGATAGGTAATTTTGCACTGCGTTTAGAGTTAAAAACATCTGTCCAATAAGGCTGTAGCTGTGGGCCAATCCCACGAAAATGCAAAAAAAATTGTCTCTTGATACAGAAATTGAAACGAGCACTGTACAATTAAGCTCTATGGTAGCAATATTTTATGTTTTTAACTGGTCTGAAACAAAGTTTTCCAGTTGAGTCTCTAGTTCATTATCCCAAGGCGCATGGAGGCTTTGTATCTTATGTGCACCTCCATTAAGGCTGTGTGCCAGGAATATGCCTTTTTCCACATATAAAATTCCCAGATACCAGTTCAGTAGGTCTTTAACAATAGGACAAATGCTTGCATAACTGGGGTATTGGGGTCAGGAAAGCTCTTTATAAATTTGAAGCAATAGTAACATTTCAAGCAGTTCAGAAAGTTGGAGGTTTTATGATCCTTAATCATTTCTTTACAGGAAACAAGTCTAACAAAAGTACATTAAGGTTCTAATCACATCTATAGTCTTTCCCCAAAATAGAATGATAGAAACAGACTGTCCTGGTTCAATCTTGGGCAAAACTATTTACTGTAGAAGAAAGGCAGGGTTGAGAAGTCAACTGACCTGCACTGGTATAGCCTGCTTAACAGTGGGCTTGTCCCTCTGTCCTTGCATACTTGTTAAAAACTTTTATTACCAATCCACCACCACCTCCCCAGAATAAATGGCTGGACTAGTGAGAATAGAGAGAATTTAATTTTTTTTAATGTTTTATTTATTTCTAGGAGAGAGAGAGAGAGACAGCGTGAGCAGGGGAGGGCCAGAGAGAGAGGGAGTCAGACTGAAACAGGCTCCAGGCTCTGAGCTGGCAGTCAGCACAGAGCCCGACGCGGGGCTCGAACCCACGAACCGCGAGATCATGACCTAAGCGAAAGTCGGACGCTTAACCGACTAAGCCACCCAAGCGCCCCAAGAATGGAGAGAATTTAAAATGTTGAGGCCATTTTCTTTTAGTTTTTGCCCAAGCTTATCTGGTACCTAGTGTTTTGAGTTGCTTCACAGTGTGGGTAAAATCTGAGCAGTGTTTAAATAATACACCTGCCAAATTAGAAAAGTTTATCTTTGATTTTTTTTCCTGAACATAGCTTGGTTCTGGTTTGTCATATGTCAGTCTTTGACAAAATGAAAACCCGTACATTCATCTAACAAGGTTATATCTGTGACTAGATCAGCCGTATATTTGATGGGGCAAGTTTCCTCAATGTCAATCAGGAAAGTCAAAAGAACATCAGAGTCCTCACCTGGGGTGCTTTTCAGAGATTCCAACTCCTGGACCTTAATCTCAGATGCTCTTATTCTGGAGGCCTGGGCTGGTGGGCTCAGTAATGTGTATTTTTTAATTTGTGTGTGTGTGTGTGTGTGTGTGTGTTTAATTTACTTCTGAGAGAGAGTGTGAGCAGGGGAGGGTCAGAGAGAGGGAGATACAGAATCTGGAGCAGACTCCAGGCTCTAAGCCAGCTGTCAGCACAGAGC